TAATAAATATTTTTTGAATGAATGTACTGTAATAGAAAAAGATCTGGAAGGACACATATTAAACTGAAAATGGTATTTTCTTAGAGGAGGGACTAGAACATAGGGATGGTTGACAAGGGAGATTTTATCTGTATTATTTAAAAAATGTTTTTTACAAGGGAAACATCTTCATGTGTTATTTGTATAATTAAACAGTGTAAAAAGGTGTTTGAAGTTCGTTGGGGGTAGATAGATGGCTGCGCAATGACATTTGTGGCAGACTCAAATCCATGCCCTGGATCTTAAACCATCCTTTGGAGCCCTGGCCTTCTTCCCCTCTCCATATTTCTGAATTCCTAGGAGTCTTTTCTCTGCTTTAATATTTCGTCCTTGGTAATTCTAATCTGCCTTCCATTGTATGTGACTTATGTGTGTTCGTTTTATCTCCCTGAGGCTATAACTCCTTGAGGGCTGGGGCCGCTTTCCTGTGACCTTTTGTTCAGCCAGACTGTTGGAAACAAGATGCCTTTCTGAACTTTTCATGAGTACCTGCTGGACGGCCGTGCTTATCACTAGGCTGGCAATCAGTACCTCGATGATTTCAGGGGAGCCAGGACACCCTTGCAGAAACAAGGCAGGCTTGCTGGCTGGGGAGTACTTTTTTTTAAAGATTTTATTTATTTATTTGACAGAGAGAGACAGCGAGAGAGGGAACACAAGCAGGGGGAATGGGAAAGGGAGAAGCAGGCTTCCCGTGGAGCAGGGAGCCCAATGCGGGGCTTGATCCCAGGACCCCGGAATCATGACCTGAGCCGAAGGCAGACGCTTAACGACTGAGCCACCCAGGCACCCCTGCTCTGGGAGAATTATTATCCTCATTTTACAGAGGAGGAAAAGGAATCAGAAAGTTAAGTAAGTTGTTGGTCACACAGTTACAAGTAATGGAGCTAGGATTTGAAAGTAGGCTTACTGCTCTTAATACTGGGCTGCATTGCTCCAAACATTAAGAACTTTTAATAAAAATGTCATCCAAACAGATAAACCAGAAAACAGTGTTGTATGGTGTTCTACTTGGTTGTAGCAGTAATACTTTAAAGTTTTGAACATTTCCTCTGTGTGAAAGCATCAAGTTAATCCAATCAGTCAGTTAGTTGATGCTGGGTATCAGGGGGCTGGGACAAAAACTTGTTCATACTTTGGAGAAATCCTTTGCAGAATTTGAGCCTTGTATTCCTTGCTTTGTATATTTACCAAATATGCAGCCTGGATTTTCCAAGGCGGTCTTGCGTTCAATGAATAATTTCACTGGTACATGTTTGTTGAATTTTGTGTTTCTTTTCATGTATTTACTCAGTAAAGACAATCTGTTAAACATAAAACAGAATAAACATAAAATAAAGCAATTTTATTTTGACACTTTAATCAAATTTTTAATATGAATTCATCGATTGAAATAACCTATTAGAACATGTGATTCAACTTTTATTTTGGATCATATCTGAGGACTTATTTATTCATTTGTTCAAAAACTATTTATTGAAAGGTCACTATATGCCAGAAGCCATGGGGAGCAAAATAAGATGTCGTCTCTGCCCATGTGTGGTAGGAAGTCTAGTTGGGAACCCTTACATAAAATACATAGTCACACAAACAACTATAAATTTTAAGTTGTATAAGAGCTATGAAGGGTGAGTGCAAAGTGCTCTGTGAAAGCGTAGTAAGCAAACTGATTTATACAGTGGGGACCATGGAAGCCATCCCAACGAGTGACCTTTAAGCTGAGATCTGACCCATAATAAAGGGAAAACTGGGCCGGCCAGAAAAAGCAAGTGCAAAGGCTTGAGGCAGGGAAGAGTTTGTTGAGAAACTGAAACACACGTGGGTAGAGCGTAGTGGAGGAGGAGAATGCTGGTAGAACCTTGGGTGAAAGCATGTCAGAAGGAACCACAGGAAAAATATCCCTAGAAAAATCCAGCATGGTAAACCAGTATAGAAAAAACCTTAATGGTTTAAGTTTACAATGTTCTCACATCTGTTGCCTCTGTTAATCCTTACCAGAAGATCATGAATCAGGGAGGGCAAGCATAATTATGATTATTTCTATCACTGAGCATTCAGGGACAAAGTTATGGAGATTTTGGTTCCTTGTTTCAGACCAGAGAGGCAAAGCCTGTGGGTTCTCTGGGTAGCCGGAAGGGAGCGAGTAGAAAGAAGCAGAAGTGACCCACCGCTATGCTGTGTGGCTGTCTGAAGAAAGCTGGCTGCAACGACATGTACTAGTCAAGTACTTTTTTTTTTTTTTAAAGATTTTATTTATTTATTTGACACAGAGAGAGAGGGAACACAAGCAGGGGAAAAGGGAGAGGGAGAAGCAGGCTTCCCGCAGAGCAGGGAGCCTGATGCGGTTCTCCATCCCAGGATCCTGGGATCATGACCTGAGCCGAAGGCAGACGCCTAACGACGGAGCCACCCAGGCGCCCCTAGTCAAGTACTTTTTGATTGCCGCGCTGTACCTACTCTTCTAGGTATCTCTGTGTCAAGACAGAAAACGAATCTTGTATTTAGAGAGTTGGTCTTAAAGTCAATTTCAAATTCGGCGGTTCTGCAATTCTTAGATTTCACATCCGGACTTAATTTGAGCGTAGGCTGGGGATTTCTGACCAGAACCTTAAAAAGTGGGTGGAATCGAAAAGGTTCATCAAAACAAGAAACTACAACTCCCAGCAGGCCTCAAGGCTGGGTCTTCTCCCCAACCCTTTTCCGCCTGGGCTGGGGGCGACCAATAACCGTTAGCTATTTGAATAGACCAATAAGATCATGAAGTTGTTTAGTCATACAATCGCACGGAAGAGGGGGAAACACCTTAGCCAATCCAAAGGCGTGGAGGCGGGACCGGAGATGGGGGCGGTGAAAGAAGTTTGCTGACTAAGATGGCGACTGAGGCGCAGAGTGTAGGGGAGGTGTCAGCCCGTGATTCCCGCCCGAGGTGAGCCGAGTTCTTGGTCCAGCTGCCTAGGAAACGAGGCCGTGGGCTGGTCGTACTGACGCTTTTCCTTTGGGTCATAGTGACCCAGCGCGGCCAGGCTTTGTTCTTTCCTCCTACGGCGTTTCGCCCTTTCACGCCTGCGGTCTGGCTCAGGAGCTGAGATCCAGCTTGACCTCCGCTTGGTCCCGCTGATTGGTGCGAAGTCGGCCCGTGGCCGTGACTGCAGACCGACGGGTTGCCTTTGCGCCGAGACTCATGTTGGTGGTGAGGAAACTCAAGTCCAGAGCTGTTAAGCGAATTCCCTAACGTCACACAGTGCTGGGAGAGAGCTCTGTTAGTACCTTCTAATCTGCTTCGAGGCAGTTTATTGTGTTAAAGTCGGTGCAAGGGAGTGTCCGTTAGAAATGGGTTTGAGTTCTTGGGCCAATTAAAAAAATTTTTTTATTGTGGTTTAGAATACTTAACATGAGGCCTACCCTCTTAGCAAATTTTTAAGTGTGCAAGACATTATTGTTGACTGTAGGTACAATGTTGTACCGCATTATCTCAAGAGCTTATTTATCTTGCTTAACTACAACTTCATGCCTATTAATTAGTAACTACCCATTCCCCCTTTCCTGGCCCATGGCAACCAGCATTCCACTCTTTCATTCTATGATTTTGACTATTTTAGATAATCTCGTATCAGTGGATACCTCTTATATGTAAGTGAAATCATTTGTCTTCCTGTAACTGGCTTATTTCCCTTAGCATAATGTCAGTAAGGTTCATCCATGTCGCCTATTGTAGAATTTTCTTTTAAAAGCTGAGTAATAGGGGCGCCTGGGTGGCTCAGTAGGTTAAGCGTCTGCCTTGGCTCAGTTCATGATCCCGGCGTCCTGGGATCCAGCCCCACATGGGGCTCTGTGCTCAGCGGGGAGCCTGCTTCTCCCTCTCCCTCTGCCGGCCTGTCTGCCTACTTGTGATCTCTCTCTCTCTGTCAAATAAATAAATAAAATCTTAAAAGAAAAAAAAGCTGAGTAATATTCCATTCTATGTATATACCACATTTTGCTATTCCATTCATCTGTCCATGGACATTAATAATCTTGGTGATTATTAATTGTGCCTCTGTGAACATTGAGAGTGCTAGTAATTCTTCGAGATCCTGATTTCAGTACTTTTGGATAAATACACAGAAGCAGGATTGCTAGATCATACAGTAATTCTATTTTGAAATTTTTGAGGAACCTCCTTACTATTTTCTATAGCACTTGCAGCATTTTGCATTCCCATCAACAGTGTACAGAGGTTCCAGTTTCTCTGCATCCTCACCAACACTTGTTGCCTTTTGCTTTTGTTTTTGTTAATAGCCATGCTGACAGGTGTGAGGTGATAAGGTCTAAGGCAAATAGTCCTAGCCAGAGCAGTTAGGCAGGAAAAGGGATTAAAAAGGCTTCAGAATTGGAAAGGAAGAACTTAAATTGTTCCTGTTTGCAGACAACATGATCTTATATATAGAAAACCCTAAAGACTAACAGAACTAATAAACTTAGTAAAGTTGCAAGATATGAAATCAACATACAAAAATCAGTTGCATTTCTATATACTGACAATGAGCTATCTGAAAAGGAAATTAGGAAAACAATTCCATTTAAAATAGCACCAAAAAGAATAAAACACTCAGGCCAATTATTTATTTATTTATTTATTTATTTATTTATTTTAAAGATTTTATTTATTTATTTGAGAGAGAGAGAATGAGAGATAGCACAAGAGGGAAGAGGGTCAGAGGGAGAAGCAGACTCCCTGCCGAGCAGGGAGCCCGATGCGGGACTCGATCCCAGGACTCCAGGATCATGACCTGAGCCGAAGGCAGTCGCTTAACCAACTGAGCCACCCAGGTGCCCTCAGGCCTATTTTTAAACCTCTCTTTGCTTCAATTTCTTTACCTATAAATGGACATAATGATGTCTACTCCAGAGAATGTCGGGATTACATTAGACAGTCTTTTTAGTGCTTAGCACTGAGCCTAGCAGGTAATAACCATTCAGTACATGATAGATTTTCTTTTTCATGGTAGAACTAAAGAACAAATCAGAGGGATCTGCAGTTTAGGAAATCATAATTTTTACAGGCACACCAAAATGTAGCTTTTCCCAGGAAGAATTTCCAGGTGGTCTTGCCACAGTCGTGAGACTTTACATGTCTTAACTGCTTACACATATACATTAGAATTTAGTAGAGTGAGTTTATTTACATCGTCTCAGTGTAAAGTGTAAACCTTTTGGTTTGGTGTCACTTGGTGCCATTTGTATTGAATGGGAGATTCCAAGTCTTGGGAAGCTGGATTTATGAATGGGCACTGGACTCGTTCCCTAGCTGAGATAGACATGTTTGAATGTGTTAATATCTTTTTTTTTAATTTATTATTTTATTTTATTTTATTTTAAAGATTTTATTTATTTATTTGAGAGAGAGAGAATGAGAGATAGCACAAGAGGGAAGAGGGTCAGAGGGAGAAGCAGACTCCCTGCCGAGCAGGGAGCCCGATGTGGGACTCGATCCCGGGACTCCAGGATCATGACCTGAGCCGAAGGCAGTCGCTTAACCGACTGAGCCACCCAGGTGCCCCTCTTTTTTTTTTTTTTTTTAAAGATTTTATTTATTTGAGAGAGAGAGAGCACATGAGAGGGGGGAGGGTCAGAGGGCAAAGCAGACTCCCTGCCGAGCAGGGAGCCCGATGCGGGACTCGATCCAGGGACTCCAGGATCATGACCTGAGCCGAAGGCAGTCGCTCAACCAACTGAGCCACGCAGGGGCCCTGAATGTGTTAATAACTTATAGGGAAGAGTTTTTCACTCTCAGACGTGCCTATAAATGGTTGATCATTTTTGCCTGGAAACTGTAGAGGGGATTGATAAATTCAATCAGCTCATCTCTCATCCTGCTCTAAAATCTTGAATTGTGATGAGAAGCTGAAGACAAAACATTATTCTATAGCAGGAGTAGTTTGAATTCCTTTCAAGGATGTTGCCAATTGAATTTAAATTTTAAGTGCTCGTATTAATTACGTGATCAACAGGTATTCACAGAATCTTATCTGAATTTGAAACTTTTATTAATTTCATATCATAAAAGAATTTGGGTTTCTGTAATTTTTTTGAGGGCAGGACACATGTATATTTTTATTACATATTCCCAATGCTTAGCTTTGTGTAGATGGTCAATACTGAATGAATAATAGTCCTATCTAAGAAAAAATACTCCTTGTGGTGATAAATACCATACATATAATTTTTTTCCCTGCAGATATTAATCTTTCTAATGTTCTGTTGGTGGTGTGGCCCCTTATATTCCATAAAGAAGAGGAAAGAATTGTCTGATTTCACAGATCAGTATATATTTGCACATTGAATGGAGAATATGTGATCATGCTTAAGAACTAGCTTTCTGTTTCTTCATCATTATTTTAAGCCTGCTTCTAATAATTAGCAGTGCTTTAAATTGTTTTAATCAAAGAACTAAATAAGAAAAAGTTGCGGGCGCCTGGGTGGCTCAGTTGGTTAAGCGACTGCCTTTGGCTCAGGTCATGATCCTGGAGTCCCGGGATCGAGTCCCACATCAGGCTCCCTGCTTAGCAGGGAGTCTGCTTCTCCCTCTGACCCTCTCCCGTCTTGTGCTCTCTCTCTCATTCTCTCTCTCAAATAAATGTTTAAAGAAAAATAAAGCTTTTAAAAAAAAAAGAAAAAGTTGCTCTGGGGGCGCTTGGGTGGCACAGTTGTGTACGTGTCTGACTCTTGGTTTCCGCTTAGGTCATGATCTCAGGGTCCTGAGATCCAGTCCTGCATCTGGCTCCATGCTCAGTGCGGGGTCTGCCTGAGATTCTCCATTTCCCTGACCTCCTGCTTGTGTGCTCTCCCTCTCTCAAATAAATAAATAAATCTTAAGCAAAAAAAGTGCTCTGCCTGTAAAGAATTTTCTGTTTTGACTTGTTGATGGTAAACACCTTTACCCCTCTATTTCTGGTCTTTATCAGGTAGAATAATGTTTTAAAATTTAACTAACTTTAATTATACCTTCAGGTTACTCTAAAGTGGACAATTCTAAAAGGGAATCTACAAATAGAAGCTATCCACTTTACTAATAGCAATATAAAAATAGTTAAGACTCTCAAAGGCCAAAGAGAGAAAAGGCTAAAGCAGGGAAGGAGTTATAGCCACCTCCCCACATAATTGGCAGTAGGGAAATACAGCTCAGTACTTTTTGAATTGAAAAGATATATAAAAAAAGTGATAACTATTATTAGATGAAGAGGGGAAATTGATAACAAAGAGCCACAGGCTTTTTAACCTCAATATTCACAGGGAAAAAAGAAACCTGCTGTGAACCAGGAAAAGCAAATGGGAATATACAGGGTTGGAGGGAAGCAAAGCAAGCCGTGGTAGTGATAAACGTGTCATAAGTTGTCATTTGTCATAAGTTGTAATTACTATGCCAGCAGTGTCCAAGTTTTGGGGCCCGAGCCTGCTCCTAGAACTTAGGAACAGCAGGAAGCTTAGGAACAGACTACTGGATGCTTGCATCCCATTTTGGAAATGGTTTTGGAGGATTAGGAAGGTGCCCATAGATGGAGAAAGGGTCTTATATTCTGCTAATTTACATACACTTTAGATATGGAATATTGGTTACTAAACACATAATTTCCGGGATGCCTGGGTGGTTCAGTCAGTTGAGCGGCTGCCTTTGGCTCGGGTCGTGATCCCAGGCTCCTGGGATCGAGTCCCGCATCGGGCTCCTTGCTCAGCGGGAAGCCTGCTTCTCCCTCTGTCTGCTACTCCCCCTGCTTGTGCTCTCTCTCTCTCTCTGACAAATAAATAAAATCTTTAAAAAATAATTAAACACATAATTTCCTGAGGACTTTTTTGTTATATTGTTCTTTCTCTAATAAGACAAGTGTGGCCCTTCAAGAGAAGTGATAGACGGAACCTTTACTGACCTTAGGAAGACTTGCCTGTTCT